TGTTGTTGTTGTTGTTGTTTGCCGTCGAGTCGGCCCCGACTCATAGCGACCCCTCCTTGGGTTTCCGAGGCAGTATCACTACAGAAGTAGGGTTGTCCAACCTTCCTTCCAAGGAGTGGCTGGTGGGTTTGAAATATCTATAGTACTTGTTATTTTATTGCTTACAAGAAAAAATTCTACATAAATCTAGTTAATGCTAAAAATACTTCTCATCTAATTAAAGATAAACCTCTTCAATTGGACTATTATAGGTTGAAAGACAAATAAGAAAAGTAATCGTATTTATACATAATCATAGAATAGCCCAAATCCTAGTATATAACTCAAAGTGAAAATAATGACCACAATAAAGCAATAGTCTTAAGTCAATGATTAATATTTTGAATATATGTAATGTCTTGACCAAAAAACAAACCAAACTCATTACCGCTGAGTCAGATCTGACTCATAGTGACTCCTCCTTGGGTTTCTGAGGCAGTATTACTGTGGAAGTAGATTGCCCAATCTTCCTTCTGAGGAGTGGCTGGTAGGTTTGAACCGCCAGGCTTCTAGTTAGCAGTCAAGTGCCTCAGGCAATTTGAACACCCTAGGCATGGTTTAGAATCAAAAATAAAAGATAAAAACAACTATAGATTTAAGGGGGAGCTCTGGTGGCGTAGTGCCTAAGGCATCTGACTGCTAACCAGAAGGCTGGTAGTTCAAACCAACCAGCCACTCCTTGGAAGGAAGATTGGGCAATCTACTTCAACAGAGATACTGCCTCAGAAACCCAAGGAGGGGTCACTATGAGTTGGAAATGACTCAACAACAGTGAGTTTATTTACAGATGTAAGGGGATTCAATAAAAAGAGGGAAACAGAAAAATGAACATTTAATAGAAAAATATTACAAGGAAAAAAAAAATCAACCTAGATTTATACCTTATCCCAAATTAAATTCCATATGAGTTAAATAATATAAGAATCCAACAAAATAAATATAGCCAATAAAATCAATTTTCATCAAATCTCTGGGGTAATGACTTATTAAACTTTGAAGAAATAGATTAGAGTGAAAAATGTGTCAAGGAGCATAGTATGTTTTATTAAAATAAAAAGGTGAAAACAGGAAATAAGCTGTATCACAGTAAGAACTTTATAAAATCAAATTTTTACTAAAAGATTCAAGTAGGTAATTGGATAAAATTCAGTGAATATTAAATTCTGATGAGAAAATACACTAACACATAGAAAATACACATAGGCCTCTACATGGAAAAAAACAAGAATGGCATATAAAAGCAACTTTGAGACACCATTCTCCATCTGTAAAATCAGCAAAACAAGTATGAGGATTTGGAGGAGGTTCATAGACTGCCAGTGCTACCGGCAAGTAACACAAGCCTTTGGAAAGCAAAGTGAAAATTCCTTATCAAAAGCTTAAAATCTGCTTAGGTTCTTGTTCTCCAAGGCGTAAAATATCTTTCCAGTCCATTTAAAGCCACTGGGACTATTTTGGAGTCCACAACAATCAAAGGGTCACAGAGTGGTTTAATTGCTGTACTCAAGACTCAGCAACTGCATTTCTGAAAATTCATCCCACAATATTACTTCAACAGAAGAAAAAAAACTGATAAAGAAAGATGCTTACTTTGGCATATGTAAAACAGTAAATTGGAAATTAGCTAATAGGTTAAAACTGTGGCTTACTCAATATAATATTGTGTCATTATTACAAATCATAAAAATTACATAGAAACACAAAATTTCTCCAAAATGTTGTTAAGGAGGTATTACAATTAAATCAATGTAAATAAAATATTTGTGCATAAAGAAAATGTAAAAAGAAAGATAAATAATGAAAAATTATTAAGGATACAAAATTAAGGTTAACTTACTTAAAAGCATTTCAACTGCTCTAATGACAAATAATTTTAAAGAACTAAAATTATGGCAGATAATTAAGAATAGTCTATAATACACATTTTTTTTTTTACCAATTTGCTTACCATATGCTTCTTCAATGAGAGCACAGTAGGGATTAATGCTTATTCCATTTTGCTTAGATTCTTGTTCTCCCAGGCGTAAAATATTTTCAAGTCCATTTAAAGCCACTTGGACTATTTTGGAGTCCATAACAGTTAAAAGGTCACACAGTGGTTTAATGCAGCCTAAGGCTACCAAATACCTTCAAAGAAATTAAAATAAAAGTGTATTGTGTAGAGGGAAGACTTTTAAAAAATTACATGAAAATACTCTTTATAGTGAAATGTTCTGTAAAAATTCAAATATTCTTATACGGACTCAAACCTCACAAACATTTAAATCCTCACATGTGAACTTAAAAATTCTCTTTTTTCTCCTCATAATTTAACATAAATAACACTAAATGGTATTGTAACTACTACAAAACACACAAACAATCAGTACTTGGCCTGTTTTTGCATGGCGTGTGAGCACTAAGAGTAGTGGGTTCACAGGCTTTTGTTTTATTTTTAAAGGGGAGCCCATGTACACATATTGAGGAGGAGTCATTTAAGGTAGGTAGAAATAAAGAGGGAAGACAAGGGACATCTAACTCACAATATTTCTCATAACACAATCATGCCTATGTTCTGAAATGTCTGATATGTTTCAGAAGCACAGAAAGTTTCTAGGAGTAAAATAGATCATTTTGTGAAATTTTTTCATAAATAATATTCACAAAAAATTATTCCATTCATTGTCCAATGTTCTTTTTCTAGTTGCTATTAGCTGTTTTCCCAATCTCTATAATGCAAAAATGAAATAAGCTGCTGATTTGGTCTCCTAAAACAAAGTCCCTGTTGAAGTATAAAGGTTAAAAATACTCTGAAGCCAGTCTAACCCACTGCTGTCGAGTTGATTCCAACTCATACTAGCCCTACAGGACAGAGCAGACAGCCCTATGGGGTTTCCAAGGCTGTCCCGAGTTACAACATATTCCAAGATACAAAACCTCCTGGCTTTTATTTTTTTGTACACCTTATCATTAGTAATATGTACTACATACAGATGAATCTTGGATGAAAGCAGAGAATACCAGAAAGATGCTTACCTGGGTTTTATTGACTATGAAAAGACATTTGACTATGTGGATCACAAATTATGGATAACACTAAAAAAAATGGGAATTCCAGAAAACTTAACTGTACTCATGAAGAACCTGTACACAGACCAAGAGGCAGTCATTTAAAGAGAAGAAGGGGATATTGCATGGTTTAAAATCAGGAAACGTGTACATCAGGGTTGTATCTTTTTCCCATACTATTCAATCTGTATGCAGAGGAAATAATTCGAGAAGCTGTACTATATGAAGAAGAATGTGGCATCAGGATTGGAGAAAGACTCATTAACAACCTGCAGTATGCACATGACACAACCTTGCCTGCTAAAAGTGAAGACGACTTAAAGCACTTACTGATGAAGATCAGGCTACAGCCTTCAGTATGTATTATATCTCAATATAAAGAAAATCAAAACCTTACAAATGGACCAATGAGAAAACCTGCAATAAATGGAGAAGAGATTGAAATTGTCTAGGATTTCATTTTACTTGGATCCACAATGAACACCTGTGGAAGCAGCAGTCAAGAAATCAGATGACTACGCATTAGGCCAATCTATAATCTCTTTACAGTGTTAAAGAGCAAAGATGTCACTTTGAAGACCAAAATGTGCCTGACCCAAGTCATGGTATTTTCAATTGCCCATATGCATGTGACAACTGGACAATGATAAGGAAAACTAAAGAACTGATGCATTTGTATTGTAGTGTTGGCGAAGAATAATGAAAGTACCACAGATTGCCAGAAGAAAGAACACATTTGTCTTAGAAGAAGTGCAGCCAGTATGCTATTTAGAAGCAAGAATGACTAGACTTCATCTCTTGCTCTTTGGTCATGTAATCAGAAGAGCTCAGTCCCTGGAGGATATCATGCTACAGGGTCAGCAAAAAACCCACCCTCAGTGGATTTACACAGTGGCTGCAGTGATGTACTCAAGCAGAAACAACTGTGAAGACTGTGCAGGACCAGGCAGTATTTCATTCTGCTGGACAAAGGATAACTGTGAGAACATACTTAATAGCACCTAACAACAACAACACTACATACGATATTGCAGCATATAATTTGCTGATGTTATCATTCTCAGATGTCCACTTGCAGAGATGTTCAATGTTATGAGTTTTAAAGATTCTGAGAATAAAAGGTGATAATAATGGGGGGAGAATTTTTTACTTACGTCAGAACTATGGAACAAAACTGATGGAACAGAACCTGTTGTAGGTTGGGGACTACCTCTATTCTTTATGGATGCAGACTGCCACATCTTTTTCTCCCATGGAGTGGCTAGTGGGTTCAAACCACTGACCTTTTGGTTAGCAACCATGTGCTTAACCATTGTGCCACCAGGGTTCCTTGAAACCAGATTGCACGGGTTCAAGTTCCAATTCCAGTTCTTACTAGCTGTGTGACCTTGGGTAATCTCTGTGCCTCAGTTTCTCCATCTTAAACCAGGGATAACAGTGCCAACCTCAGAGGGTTGTTATGAGAATTATATGATTAAACACAGTGTAAACATCACTAAAGTTAGTGCCAATATATCTGGGTTTAAATTATGGTTATACCACTTATTAGCTAAATGACCCAATTAACTGTGTAAGTATTAGGGAAATCACTCTCCCTGAATCAGAATCAACTCAACAGCAATGAGTTTGGGTTTTCTTTGGTTTAAGACTTAGTTTCCTTCTCTATACAAGAAAGACACTAACAAGTTCATACATTTGTGATGGTACTTAAATGAGAAAATGTGCATCATATATATTATCTGGTATCTGGCATGTAGGAGGTATTCAAAAAAAGTTTTTTTTTTTTAACTAAAATATGCATACTTCACTCAAGCACTTGCCATACATTGTACCACAATTAATCAAAATTATTTACTGAATGAATAACTCTCTCACAGAGCTGTGAAGGTAAAGGAGATAAAATACGTAAAAATACTTGATACACTGTTAGTACTCTGACATGACTGATCTAGCACAACAATTAACAATACCAGGTACTTAATAAGTAATGTTAACAACCTATCTATAATCTATAAGACCTCTTCCCTATATATGTAGAGTTAATGAAGCAGTTAAAATGATTAGAAAAAAAAGTTTTATCTAGACATTTGATTCCTACTAATAAACTTAAAGGCGCTCTGGTAGCATAGTGCCTAAGGCACTTGACTGCTAACCAGAAGGCTGGCAGTTCAAACCCACCAGCCACTCCTTGGAAGGAAGGCTGGGTAATCTACTTCCATAGTGATACTGCCTCGGAAACCCAAGTAGGGCTCGCTATGAGTCGGGTCTGACTTAATGGCATATAACAACAACAAACAACAATAAACTTAAAGAACATATGGAATAGATACAATTCTAAAAATACACAACTGTTTATAAGGTGAACAAATCAACTCTGGGCTCAAGAACAGATCAAAGTAACACTAGCGTTAAGGGAAATGCAGCTAGAACAAGGGCAAGGTCTTGTTGTATTGCTGCTTATGTTCATGACAAAAATGAAGTGGAAATATTGCTCAAAACAAAATGATAGAATAGAAAATAAAAATAGACATGTTATTAATATACAGAAATAGGAATACTTGAGAGAGCCAAATAATAGTACAAATGAAAGCAATAAAAAAAATGATCTTGCAATAATTAGATTTCAAAATCTTGTGATGTGTAAAATAGCATTTTAATTTGAATCTTTGCTTTATTAATTAAAAAACAAATCAAGCAAATATTCATTAGAAAATACAGTCACTTCAAGTAACCAAAAGTCTTGAATTTCATGGAGGGATACTCAGAACAAGAAGATTCTATAGGAAGCTAGGATTTTATAAGGCTGCTGAGCAGAACTGTGCAAACTGAGGGAAAATAAGTGTAAAGCACACGATAAAAAGAGAAACTTAAGAATCAAAACTAGTAATATAAAGTATGATTACTACAAATAATAGTACTAGCAGCTAACCTTGAGAATTTAGTATTTACAGCATTGTGCTGACTATTTTAAATGCATAAATTTATCTTAATTATCAAGGTAGATAAGATGCTATCTGTTAATGAACTCATTAACTCAACTTATAGCAGTCCCTCCTTGGGTTTCCGAGGTGGTATCACTATGGAAGTAGACTGTCCAATCTTCCTTCCGAGGAGTGGCTGGTGGGTTTGAACCACCAGCCCTCTAGTTAGTAGTCAAATGCCTTAGGCACTACACCACCAGAACTCATTAAAGCATGAAGAAACTGTACATTAGAGAGGTCAAATGAATGTGTCAAGAGCAAGATATGAAACCAGGCTGAGTTCAAAGCCCAAGTACCTACTACAACCTACTGTTGTTACCAAAATAAGTAAGTAAACAATAAAAGGCATTGATTTAAAAGGCTATCATAATAAAGAAAAAAAAGATAACATATAGACAAATAAAGGTAAGATACTATACACAGGAAAGGCTAACAACTAATTAGGAGTAGAATATCACTATATAACTAAGTGTTTATTTTAAATAACTGGATATTCAATGTATTAGCCTACTTCTATATAATAAAGTTACATGTCTTGTGATTTTAGTGGTTTAAAAGATTTTAAACACTTATGATATTATATGGTAGTATATTTTGCAAGGTAACATAGACTGTTCTCTTTTAGATTTTTAATCTCTGATTTTCCATAAACTGTCAAGAACAATGTCAATGATACTTTAAATGATAAAAAAAAAAAACTTGTAAGTGAATGATGTCATTGATACAGCAAATGCTGTCATTTCACATTAGAAGTGCTTATCAAACTGACTTAGAACCACTGTTTCAGTTTTATTGCAAATCTGTTCCATTTATACTTTAAAAACAATTTTAAAAGATCTGTACCACACCTTATTTGTTCTGGCGTGCCTCCTGACGTTGCATTAGTTATAGCCCATGCTGCTTCTTTTCTGGTTCGAAACTCTGCTTTCTGAAGAATCTCAATCAAAACAGGAAAAATATTTGCATCTATAACAGCCTGGAAAAAAGAAAACTGTCACAGTAGAATCAGTGCAAATACTGTTTCAAAATAATGCAAAGTAAAGCTGGGTTGAAACTCAATGGCTTTAAAATGTCAAGGTTTCTGGAAATATCTTTGGAAGCATATTTTTTCTAATGGGCCAATAAAGTTTCACATACTTTTCTTTTAAAAGAAAAAATTGGCTTTTTAGGAGAAGATTTTAGCAGAACATAAATTTTGAAGATGGTAAAGCACAAGACATATGATTTATCAATATGGGTAAGTAATCACTAATGTTAGGAGCTTGACAGGACCGTAATACTTCATTAAATGCTTTTAGAGGACAATCATTGCCTAATATTTACAATTAATCCCTTTTTAAAAACTGACCATTACATGTCAGCTACCATGCTAGGCATTTTTACATATATAATTGCTATTCTCTTAAGAATACTACAAGTAGGTTATTATTTTAGAGTAGAAAAGACCATGTTCTTTAAAATTTCTTTCAGGGCTGTTACTGAACTCATTAACTCAACTCACAGCAATCCCTCCTTGGGTTTCCAAGGTGGTATCATTATGGAAATAGATTGTCCAATCTTCCTTACAAGGAGTGGAACCACCAGCCTATTTTTTTAATCAAGTTTTTTTTAGCAGCTCACTAAAAAACATTACTGATAAAATACTAACTTTTGTCTAAACTAGCTGCTTAGACTTTCTTGTTCTGTCCTAAGATCTGAAAGTTATTACCTGAATCTGAGCTCTATTTCCAGCAGTTATGTTAGAAACAGTCCAACAGGCTTCTTTTCTAATTGACTCCTTTGGGCTGCTCAGTAAGTGTAACAGACAGGGTAGTGCAGAGCAATTCAAAATTACCTAAACCAAAGTGAAAGTAAGAAACAGAAAGTTTCATAGCAAATAAACTATATAAAATTCTACTAATGAATTTAGAAATACAAAAAACATTCTGAAAAACCAAATTAAGAAAAGAGAACTTCTTCTCAAAGTAAAACTTAGACACTTGCCACCTTCTACCCTCCTGCTGTTGCCAAAACTTGTCTAACACTGGTATAGTGAAGCACCCAGTTCTCAACCATGAAAATCCAAAAAAAGCAGGACACTTAGATGTGTGTTCTTCAAGTTTACAAATGCACCCAGAGTTCAACTGATACTTGAAGAAGGATCTGGTAACTCAAGTCAGGATCCACATCTCTAGTTTTGCCAAATGAAAAAAAAAATTACATCTCTCTCTCTCTCTCCCTCTATATATATATATATATATATACACACATACACACACATACATATGAAAAAGGTTAGATAGATACAAAACAGTCTAAAGGATTTAATTCTGTAACTATTAAGAAACTTTAATGTATAGAGTAAGTCTATTTGTTTCATTAAAACTTTTATTGCTTTACTTTTTTTTTCATAAAGAAGTAAATTTTTACTTCCGGTAAGATAGAGAACTGTCAGACAAGCTACACAGACCCCCTTCAACAAAGAAAAGAGTAACTAACTAGTTGACAGAGATGCAGAAGATAATCCCAGAGCCCTAAACTTTGAAAGGAACTATACAAAAGTGGATTAAGCACCAACTAATGGAAAAATC